CAAACTCTTCCAAACTCTTCCAAACTCTTCCACGGAAACCCGAAACTCGTCACTTTTCCGACACTTTTCCTGTGGCGTCCAGGCCTCAACACTTTTCCTGTGGGGTCCTGGCCTCAACACTTTTCCTGTGGGTTCCAGGCCTTAGTGTGTTCACTGGCCAAGGGCTAGGCATCCATGCCTACAAAAAGTCGTTACAGGTCCAGCACAGACATAGGGCCTAGCTCCACCACTCCACACTCTATATGCATTTGGACGCCTTTCTGGAACAGGTGAGTTCGGTCGAGTCCAAGATCTGGAATGTGTCAGGACGGTTATGAACACGAGATCCATATAGAGTGTTGTGTAGTGGAGCGAGGCCCAGAGGACCTGGGCTCAACTGCACTACAGTCTAACCTATTGGGAGCTGATACTAGTCCCCCTTGCACTAGAAATGTTCGATCAGTAAGAATGAACTTGGTCCGAGCGGTAGTCCGGATACATGCAGAATCTTGAGTGGTGGAGCGAGGCCTTAGACCATTGCTCAGAGCGCACACAATCTCCCTGAGGCATTTGGCTGTTTTTACTTTCTTTTTTCCCCCTTTTATTTTTGCATGCATGCATTCGAAGAAGATCAGTTTGGGCGACTGTTCATCACTTGCTGGAGTGCATCAGATCACATGCATATGCACAGATTTCACAAGTTGCCATGTCTCACACAAAGCCCAACAGAAAATGAATGAGAACCAGGAAGCTCAACTCAATTATCAAACCCAGAATTAGAGAGAGAACATCGTGAGTTCAAAGTGTACAGCGCCAAACAGAATTACAAGTCTTCTTCAATCAACATAAACTCCCAGGCCTGGCGCTCATCAGCACCAGCTGCCTAACGTCAACAGCGCCTCAACAGGTAAGTATCACCATAGCTTACTTCTTCCCCTTTGATCTCTCTCTTCTCTTCCTCTGTCTATAGTCCTGGTCTACTCTCACTCATCATTCATGCACACTCCCTATCACACGAGGATCTACTCTGAATACTACTCGCTGGTGTCTCCTACTGACTATCCCTACTAACATACTAACTAGCGCTGGTGCAGCTATGGCTGCCTTCCCTCCAGCCAGCACTTTCTTCCCTCTCACATAGCGCTGGTCTTCAGCCTAGCGCAGCTCACACACATCTAGCGCACAAGTGCCACGGCACTTCCACACTCTCATGCGAAGTGAGCTTCTGTCCAAATGGAAGGCTGGCCAGTCCTTTATAGTGCTGGTGATACATGCCCAGTCGGGCGATGTACAAATAAACCGAGGATCTGCAATGTGATAAAAAGGACTGAATGGACAATGCAGTGCAAGTGAAATCTCAACAAGCAATGTGCATTCTGATACATACAAAATGGTGCTTTATAGCGCAGGGAAGACTTTAGATACAAGTCCTGACGTGACCGGGACTGACCTCTACTACGTAGTGCAAGACAGTGCAGCAGAATGCTAGAATACCAATGGCTGGCCCAATCAATGTTGCAACGCAGACCAAACATACATCATGCTCATCACAAGGTGTGAAGGGGCCTGGCGCTATACTCAGGAAGGAGGTGCCAGGTCCAGACATACACAGACGAAGAGGAGGGGATCAGACGAAGAAGAGGAAGGGGGAGACGGGAAAGTCGTCAACACCAAGTCTCGTTACAAGTCCCAAATAATCCCTCTTCAAAATGTCTGAAGTCCAATGTCAAGTCTGGATCCAAATGTCACCGACTCTCTCTCTCTCTCTCTCTCTCTCTCTCTCTCTC